TCTCAAGCAAATCCTGAGACGTCATTCTCCCCTTGTACTTGGCCTTGGTGAGGCCGCAGCTGGAGTACTGCGTCTAGTTTTGGGCTCCACAATTCAAAAAGGGGTGACCACCAGTATCTGTGGGAATGTTTGTTCACCAGAGCGCCCCAAGGGATGATGAAGTCAAACAGTTATAAACTACTGCAAGACCGTTTCAGGCTGGACATAAGGAAGAATTTCTTTACTGTCTGAGCTCCCAAGGTCTGGAACAGCCTGCCATTGTAGGTGGTTCAAGCACCTACATTGAACACATTCAAGAGTAAATTGGATGCTTATGTTGCTGGGATCCTATGACCCCAGCTGACTTCCTGCCCTTTGGGCAGGGGGCTGGACTCGATAATCTTCTGAGGTCTCTTCCAGCCCTAATGTCTAGGAAATCTATTAAATCAAAATGCAAATTACTTTACGTACAAAAATGCAAGGAGTAAGGAGAACAAATCAAGATGAAATGGAAGTCCTAGCCTTGACTGGTATTACAGAGACTTGGTGGGGCAACTCTTGTAATGGGAACATCAACATTGAGTGGTATACTCTGTTTCAGAAAAAAAAAAGGTTGTGTTATTACATGATGCATCTAAAATATATGTAGTGGTTATCTGGTCCAGGAGGAAAAAGGTAGCAGATCTGAGTGCATTTGGGTAAAGATAAATGGAGAAAAGTGCAGTGGTGATATAATGGTGGTGGTTTGCTATAGATTCCCAAAGATAGGAGAAAGTGGTGGATGAAGCACTCATCAAGAATTACAAAGCTGTCAAAGATAATAAGGAGGTACTGATGGGGGATTAAACTTCTTGGATATTTTCTGGAAGAATATTATATTAGCCAAAGAAAATATTATAGCCAAACGTAAAATGTCAAGCAAGTTCCTAACTTGTGTGGAGGGCAATTTTCTGTTACCAACAGACAGATGAGGATATGACAATGGCAGCATCTATCTTGGATCTTATTCTGAACAATAGAAAAAAATTGGTTCAGGATGTGAAGGTGAGAGGAAGCTTGGGAGGAAGTGATCATGATATAATTAATGATTCTGAGATGGGGAAAGCATGAGGTTAGCAGAACTAAGATACTGGATTTCAAAGAGGGTGGTTTTCAACCAACTCAGAGAAATATTGGCAAGGTACTATAGAAGGATGACAGACTCAAGGTTTAAAGGGACCAGGAGGGCTGGCAGTTTCTAAAGGGCACAATACTGGAAGCTCAGCAAGAAGCTATTCCAATCTAATGGAAGCACAAGAACAAGAGACCTGTGTAACTGCACAGGGAGTTTTAGGATGCCTCCAAATCAAAACATACAAGCAATGGAAGAACAGGCAGGTCACTAAGAAAGGATACCAAGAAATAGCAAAAACACGCAGGCACAAAATCAGGGAGGCAAAATTTTTTTTTTAAAAAAAGCTATCCTTAGCTAGGGAAGTTAAGAACAAGAGGAGATGAGCTCTTAACAGATAGCGAAAAGAAGGCAGAGCAGCTCTCAGCCATTTTGCTTTGGTGTTCACACAAGAAAAAAAAAAGCAAGCTGCAACTGGAAAGTTTAAAAGAGATTATAGAGATAGAGGAACCGACAGGTGGGGTGGGAGAGTCATGATAACAAGACTTCAGAGAGCTTTTGGTCAGTTTGAATGAATTCAAGTCAACAGGGCTTGATTAACTTCATTCCAGGATACTGAAGAAACTGATGGGAGGGATCTTGGAGTCCTTGAAAGTTATATTTACCAAGTCATGGGAGATAGGCAAGGTACCAGAGGACTGGAAAAAGACCAACATAGTGGCCCTCTCCCCTCAAAAAAGACAAAAAGAAGGACCTGAAGAAATGTAGACTTGACTTTACTACCCAGGACATTACTGGAACAATTGATAAGTAAGTCCACTTTTAAGCATCTCGAGAAGGAAAAACAGGTCTTCAGCAGCCACCATGGATTTACTAAGAAAAAGTTATGCCAAATTTGATTTTTTTTGACAAGATAACTAGTTGGTTGTTTGAGGGAAATGCACTGGATACAGTGTACTTGGACTTCAATAAAGCTTTTGATAAAGCCCCACACAAACTTTTTATGAATGAATCAGAGAAATGTGGGCTATAGACAAGATGGATAGGCAACTGACCTAATAGCCATAAGCATAAATGGATACATGTCCGAATAACAAGACGTGTTGAGTAGAGTTCTACATGGGTCTTTCTTGGCTCCACTGCTCTTCAAATATGTTTACTAATGAACTGGATGCTTCCTGGGCAAACCTCCAGATGACAAAACAGGGATTGCAAATGCATTGGAGGATAAGAGTACAAATCAGAAGAATCTTGATAAATTGGAAAGCTGGGCTAAAGCCAAAGGAATGGAATTTAATGCTGACAAATGCAAGGTGCTATATCAAGGGAAGAATAATAAAAAAGTGCACGCAAAGTAGGTGACAACTGCCTGGATGGCTGCATAGTGGAGAAGCATCTTGGAGGCTTGGTGGATCACAAACTCCAGATAAATCTGCCATGTGAAGCAGATGCAAAAAGAGAAATGCAATTTTGGGTTGCAACAATATGAACATTAGGTATAAAATACAAGAGGTGATAGTGCCACTCTATTCAGGACAGGTTAAGCCTCATCTAGTGTATGATGTGCACTTCTGGGTTCCACATCTTAAAAAGGATGTTGAAAAGTCAGAGAAGGTTCAAAGGTCAGTGACAAAGTGATAAAAGGCTTGAAAGGCAAGTCATATGAGGTTGAGAGAAATAGGTATGTTCAGTGGCATTAAAGGTGTTCAGGAGGAAACTTAGCGGTTTTCAAATATCCGAAGGTCTACTATAAAGAAGAGGGAGAATATCTTTTCTCTATCACTGCAGAGTAGGATGTGTGGCAATGGCTTAAAATTACACCATAGTAGATTTAGACTGAATATGAGGAAAAGCAGGATTACAGGCCTGGAACAAGGTTTATGGACAGGCTAGGATGACAGAAAGGGAGATTCTGAGTCTTCACTTAAAGCTTCTGATTTGCAAATTGCATACAATTCCCAGGTTGCACTGTAGAGTGCTGGGTTTTTATTTTCCTAAGTTTTTCGACTTTGCTGGTTGCCAAATTGGGGTGGAAAGAAATTTCTCCCCCTCTTCTTGCTACAGGTTTTTCAACTTTCTCAGAAGCACTGAACATTGGCTGCAGTCAAGGCTAGGGATTTTGATGGGTATAACCAATGTTCCTGCTGGGACTTAAAGCTGGAGAGTTGTGCCTAGATAGTCTTGCTGTTCCACATGCATGGAATCAAAAAGGAATTCTACCTCATGGTCAGATCAGTATGGACTGTTGGTGTTTTTGCCTTTTTGTAGCTGGGAGTGGGGTCTCCTTCCTTTAGCAGGGAGCGTGACCTTTCAAGTGTATTTTAACAAACTACTTCCTGTCCTTGTAATGGAAGGACAGTGATGCTGCTTTTGTCCTCTCTGCTTTACTTGTGTCAAGTTAGTTTGTTCTTGATGTCTTCAGGCATTGTACCTGTTAGGTGCTCATGTAGTTTTGCTTGGAATAAGCTAGATAACCTCCTGAGGTCCCTTCCAGCTCCAAGATTCTATAACTATGATTAGAATAAGAAGAAGCTTAAAGTGAAGCATAAGAGCTTTGCTGGAGCAAGGCCACTAGAAGCAAAAAAAAATTCTATTCTTAAACACAGGGGTACAAAAGTTCAATGGAACAAAAAAAAATGGCATTACTTCCAACAGCATTTATTAATCAGCTCAAAACTTACAGTATGCAGTAGTTGGCCACTCTAGTGTTGTACATACAAATGTAAGGGGCCTTAAAAGTGTTCTGTCAGGAACCTCAAACACTAAAGATAGTGAAATCAATACACTTACACTGAAATGCAAATCTATTACATTTCAGAATATTTAAAAAAAAATGTTTGACCCCAGTAATCTTTCCTGCCATGGCAGGGGGTCAGACTAGATGATCTACTCAGGTTCCTTCCGACCCTAGAAACTATGAAACTATATTCTTTGTATGCTGATATAGAAAACAATGACTTCGGGTATAAAGAAAATAAATTTTAGTTGCTTTAAAAGGGGAGGGGGCAGTTCCACAGGAGCATGCATCAACTGTTATGCTGTAATGATTATGCCTTCATGACCCTGCAGCAATATAAGTGAGCTAAATAATCCGGCCTCTGTCCTTGAATGAAGCAGGGTTAATTTTGCATCAGTCTCACCTCATCTACACTGCTATGGAATCACGCAGATGCAACAGTTGCATCACAGTAGCTTATAACAGTATCCTCTGATGCAATTTTATTTATACTTTTAATTTTCAAAAATATATTTACAATTTAACACAAATGTATTTGGCAGTAACAATGTAATGATATGCAACACAACAAAATAAAGGCTTCTTTATCAACTTTAACCCAATTGAGGTCTGGTTTCTAGTTTTTATGACAAGCTATAAATCACATGGCACACAAGCTCCTAAGAGGAATGATGTGGAATTAAATTCAACTGAAACGCTCTTAAGAGGGATCATCTGAAATTAAATTCCACTGAAATTCTTTGGACATCCAGTTAAGAACTCAAATCTTAACAATTCACTTATCAGCATTTCTCATCAAGCCAAGGGCAATAAAGCAGCTGCTTTCAAAACTCTTGCCAGCACTTTCTTACTTGGCAAGCTGTTGGTCTTATTTAATCAGCCAGACTGTTTCTCCCCACCTTCAAAATGAACATCAGCTACCAATGTTAATGAAACTTTGGATAAAGCACATTACATTTCTAGGTTCCTGGCTGAATGTTTCTACAAAGAGTACACATTTAAGCAACAGAAAGCAAGTTTTAGGCTATTTGAATCAAAATACACACATAAAAATAGTCCAGTATCTCTCTTACTATACAATAAAATGTTTGTATCTAGTATCAAAGTACTGAGCTGTTACATTAAATATGATATTTGAGTTTACTCAAAAAAACTGTTGCAAATGTTAAGTAATAATTCTTGAGTGATAGGCATATTCATTTGATGAATTTTTACATTCTTTTTTTCCTAGAAAGTGAGAAAATACTTACAGCAGAGTAAGTGTTTTTACTTAGATAGTCAACTAGACTAGTGACATATTGGCCTGAAAATGCTGGCTCTAAATTTAGCCACACAATCCGATTACACCAAATAAGAAATCAGATCTAGACCTACGATCCGACACTAAATTAGCCAGACTCTTTGAGAAGCTGTCAATGTACAGCCAATACTGAGTGTTAATAAATACAACTTTATATATGCTTTACCTTACATTTTTATAAAAATATATAGTCTAATAAAGTTTACTATTAATCTTAGTATTTCAAACATCCTTGCTTTTATGACCTAGCTTTATAATTCTTAACCAGATGAGTATTATTTTATTTACTCACATAAATAGTTCCTGAGTCAACAACTCTTCTGGCATGCACAAGGATTATCTGGCAGTAAGACCTGCAGGAAGAACTCTGTAGAAACTACATAACAGTAATAAAAGTGAAGAAAAAGGAACGCATATGGCTTATATAGGACTTAAAAAAATGTGTTTGCATGCAATAATGTCAGGGAATGAAAATTAAATGATATGGCTGGTTTCCACAGGTGTGCTAAAATAATTTATTTTTGCATATAAAAGTGAATGGTAACTGTGCTTCTTAAGTAACACAACATTTAGAGTCTACAATGTCTTACTGTTTGACTTTGTATGTCCTCCGAGAGTACAGTAACATTAGAGATCTTCCAATATAACAGCTTGGAATGTTTGGATACTAATCTTCTTTTAACAATCTGAATTATACAGTTGGAATCCTGTGAAAGGCCTAACACTTCTTTTCCCGCTCATTTCACAGGACAGAACCCAGCTAAGTAACAAACACATTTTAGCAGATGTGTAACTAAGCTTAATTCAGAAACGTAGGATCAAACAAAATGTACAAATCATTATGCAGACTTCTTTACTGTGTTTGCATGGAGAAAATATTTGTAATTAATAATGGTGATAAACTGCTTCTGAAATAGGAACACAGCACTAGACAACATCTTCAGCAACTGTAGTATCAAAAATCTGATAGCAGACTCGCTGTTCTGTTCCATCTCTGACTGTGTACGACCTGATGATGCATTCCAGCCATGGCAAGTCATCTACAAATCAGAAACAAACCACGCATTTTCACATGAATTTTTAGCTCTTGTAACACCAAGTAAAACTCTAGCAGAGCCTTTAACAAGATACACAAAACACACAATCCAGCTGAGAAGGAAAACTAAAAATTATTTTTTATTTCATAACAAGCATTCTAGTTTATATTTTAGGATCAGTAATGCTCTTCAGCCATTAGCATGGCTATTTGAGGAAAATTTACTACTCAGAAAAAAGGAGTACTAACAGTTAGTATATAATAAATGAATACTAACATTTTGTAAGGAAAAAAATAAACTGTTCATGACAGGGTCATGTGTGGTACATATACAATATGTATTGGACGAGGCCATCAGATGTTTCTTAAGGAAACTGCATTGTCAATCCTTTATAACCAACTCTACATTTGTTACCTTGAAGCCATCTACCAAAGCGGCTGGATCACCAAAGAAATTATCTACCTTAGCGAATAAGTTGTTCTCAACATCATCTTGCATTCCCCACAATTTAAACATTGCAATGAAATGTACCACTGTGAAAAATATCTAAAAATGGCACTGGGATGCCATAAGAAAGGAGTCAATCCAAAGAAGAGCCACCCATAAGATCAGAGTCTTTAAAGGCAAGCCAGATGAGGAAAGGCTGAGAGATCTATGACTCTTCAGCCTGAGGAAAAGACAGCTGAGAGGGGACCTGGTACCAGTTTACCGCTACGCTAGGGGAGTACATCAAGGTCCTTGCTCACCAGGGCACCCGATGGGAAAACCAGGTGCAATGGCCACAAACTCCTGGAAGATTGATTCAGGCTCAACATTAGGAAAAACGTCTTCATAGTCAGGGTATCTAGACTGTGGAATAAACTTCCTCCAGCGGTTGTGCAATCACCTACTCTGGAAATTGTCAAGAGGTGACTAGACAGTCACCTTGCTGGGGTCGCCTGACCCCCAGTTATCTTTCCTGCTTGGTGCAGGGGGCTGGACCTGGTGATCTTCCAAGGTCCCTTCCAGCCTTACAGTCTATGAATCTATAAATCTATGAATCTGGAGGGAAAAGAAAGATGGGCATGAGTGTGGCGTCACTGAAGGGATACAGGCACTGAATTAATGACCTTGGCTTCCTGTAGGTCCCTGGAACTTCAGGTTTTCATAGATTCATATATTGTTAGGAGCTGGAAGGGACCTCACAGATCATTGGGTCCAGCCCCCCTGCTCTAGGCAGAAAGACAACTGGGGTCAATTGACCCCAGTGAGGTGACTGTCCAGTCTCCTCTTGGAAACCTCCAGGGTAGGTGATGCATAACGATGAATTATTGTGAAGGACTCCTTGCAGAGATTTCCTTATAAAAATCCCCAATTCAAGGCTTCTTAAACAGAGTGGGGATAGACAGATGACATAACCAGACCCATTTGCTTTCAAATAAGTAATCTGTCCAAGTCTACTGTAGTGAGGCTCTGACCTTATTGACAATGGCATTTTACTTTACATCTCCTTCCCTTGTTGCTGCACTAGTAAATTAGGTGTTGGCATTTTTAATGTCATGTTTTCTACCCCTGTTCACATCAAGACAGTATGACTGGGAAAATGTTAGTCTACTAAGTAGCTCCCTCTCACCGCTGGAACCAGTGACAGTGCCTTCTTGCTTGTAGAACAGTGGCAGATTTCAAAAAAGCTAGATCTCTCACAGCCTCTGTGGAGATATCTGGAACTTTAATGCAGTAATAAAGAGCTAAGATTTTCAGTATGTTGCTATGGTATATCTGAGCTATTTTGTCAAGGGGATTTTTAACACTGGGCTTAAAAAAACTGTGGACTGGCAACTACAGTGCTACCCAGCAAACATTTTGCATCAAAAAGGCTTCCAAGGTCCCTGTTTCAGACACAGTGCTTATCAATGCATTCTGATAAGCCTTAGGCCCCTGCCACACGTACAGGTAAAGACACAATAAAATCTGATGTGTGATCCACACAATGATGTCTCTCTTGCCATGCCACACATGCAGAGAAAGAGGTGTGTTTGTGAGATTGAGCAGCAGATCCCATCAAATCTAAGTGCTGGTGCAGCAGGAGCCCAGGATCACAGTCTCAGGCTCCTTCTGCACTGGCAAGTAGCAAGCTCCCAAAGCTGGGAGCCTCCTCAGCAGACAGGACTGCCAGTTGCAGGAGTGCATGGTGTGTCCCCATGGCTAGGAGCCTCATCAGCTGCAGGCTGCCAGCCATGGGAGCACATGGTGCACCTCTGAAGCTGGGAGCCCAGATCAGCTGATTTGGGTGCACTTGGCCACATGGTGAATTAATGATGTCATAAGAACCAATGACAAAACTATTCCATATTTTCACTGGAATAATGTTGTGGTTTATTCCTTGTTTTATGATGCCTTGAATTGCTTTAATGTGCAGCTGCATTACAACTTAAAAAGTGATCAACTGGCTATTCATTCTTTAAGTGTAATGCATTGTGGGGTTCATAGAGTACTTGCTTATGAAGCAAAACAAAATGTAATAATTTGAGCAGTGGTTTTTCTGCTCTTTGACCTATTTATACCTATCAAAGGAAGCAATTAAAATAGAACACTGTTCAGAAACTTCAGCTTTCCGATTTTAAGTTGGTGCAAAGTTCTGAGCAAAATAAGAACATTCAGAAACAGAATTTCAATTGATCTTCATGCGTTATTGGATTTTAATGTTTCAATGTTTTAATTATAAAAGCTAGGGTACAATGGGCTGCCCTTTGACAGATGCCCTTACTCCTCAAATTAATGTTAGTGAATTAAAAGTTCCACTTTACTTCCCCAGAGGAAATGCTGAAAAAAACTGTGATGAAATTCAGGTTTCATCGCCCTGAGAATCTACACCCAATTCCCACGGGCAAGAAGGGGGGCCCAAATCCACAGAGCATTCTCAAAATTAGAACTATGTCTAGGTCTCAGGCTGAATTACCTTAGTTGTCACAAAGTTACTGTGACATTAGGTTAAAAGTATTTAGGTTAATTTTGATATAAACATGAATTATCTCTATCCCTACTTGACTATAAATGTTTACACACAAAACTGAATCTACACCCAAGGTAATCTTGGAAGGACCAAGTCAATACATATCCTTTCCACAAGGCTCTTCTCCTGATAAAGGAATTAACCAAGCACCACACAGTAAACAAAAGTAACTGACACTTTCCTTATAATTCTGTATATTTACAGTACTGCATTTGGTCTGATCATATGTATAACAAGCCAAATGCTAAAACAGTCATATAAGTTTACATATATAGTAGCAGATTAAAGAGACACAGCTGACCTATTTTTCTTTTGGGAGAACAGAGTGAATCCATGGTCGCCTCCATCTTCTTCTGAAGAAGATCACTGCTAAGAACTTCAGAGGCAGGAATCTGGAAAAACTTTTCCTGGAAGGGAAATGAAGGGTTTGAGGCAAAAGGAAGACAAAAATAATTAGGATCTTGAACATTTTTTCTCCTGACCTTTTACAGGTCTCTTGCATTTCATGAAGTTCCAAACTAGCAAACAGGAGGTAATACTGCCAATACAGAGTTTTCAACAGCATCCAGATATTTAAAAACCCACCAAAGGAGAGTACATATGAACATTATATTACTTGTGTCTCAGATTTGTGCTCAGGAATTAAGAGCAACAGAATGCTGCATCACTTGAATGCTTGGAGAGCAACATACCACTCTATAGGAGAATGGGTACCATATAATCTGGTTTTATTTAAGTAGTACTTTTCTATTTTTAATTTAACTTTTTCATTTAAGTGTTAGAAGTTTTTGGTTGGTTATACACAATGTAGCATCTACTGAGAAAAAATATCTCTACAGAGAAGAAAGAAATAAAACTTAAAAGGTCATACATGCATTCTCATTTAATATACCTCCCTTCTCACACCCCCAAGATTTCTGGGCTGATTTTGACTTCCTTCTTGAGTTTGGCTGCATTTTCACTTCCTGCAATTGGGCCACTCTAGTTGGGCTCCAGATGCTACTTCATGAACATTTGAAATGGTGATGAACTGTTTTGTGTTGATGCAGAGACTTTCTGCTACCCCATTCTGCTAGAAGATCTCAAGGGATCTCATGGGATCTCTTAACTCCTATTTGATTTTTATACTTAGAAGTCTAATTAAGAATGGCCAGAAAGTTGGGAAGGATCAGAGAGGATTATGTTTTAAGATTACATTGTCTTCCTACCTCTAACGTTCCACCCCAACTTCAACTCCTTTATTTTCACTATCCCTTTTTTTTCCAGAACATTTCTATTTGACTATCGGATTAAGAAAATGAACTGGGAGCGTTACTATAGAAATGTGACTAGAAGCTGGTTTAAAGTTATACTTCAAAGTAGCCTTGCTCCTTCTCAGACACTGCCGGAGTACCTCAGTCTGGGCACTGGGAAGTGGTGGTTCCTTTGAAGTGCCACTAGAAGCAGTGCTAGCAGATGGCACTTCAAAAGAAATGGCTTTTTCTTCCTGCAGCCCAGCTGTAGCATTTAGCAACACCTAATATGAATCTGGGCTACTTTGAAGTGCAGCTTTCCTATAGAAACCTGAATTGGGAGATGGTTTATGACCCCCATTGTCCCTGACTTTGTTTCTCAACAGATTTCAAGAGACAGATTCCAAAGGAGGAAAGAGGGGAACTACAAAGAAGAGAGAGAAGGCCAGCCCAAGTAGGGAATACATACTTTGCCTACTGTTGCAGCTACCGCCTATGGTATTTTAAAATTGAAAAAACTGAAGAAATAAAAATGAAATAGAAATTGAAGAATTAGTGAGTTCTCCTGACAAATTTAATTCTGCTACCATGAGCATAAGATTTGGGGTCTTTTATAAATTGATTACACCACAAAGTTATACAGCTATAAGGAGGGGCCTACTCAAATTGCAACTGCACAGATTTTGCAAAAATAGCAAAATTGGGAGACCTTTGTGAAATGCTCAGGGGAAAGAAAACAAAACACAAAAACAGACCCAACCTTTTTCTCCCTTATCCCCCCCCAAATTACTAAAAATAAAGTACTAGCTCCCCACTAGCAGTCCTCCTGGTTATGCAGCCTGGCACAAAGGGGGCTGCTGGCATGAAAGGGACCAGGCAAGATGGGTGCCACCTCTCACCTCTGATTGGTGAAGGGCTGCCTGTTGTGTGGCCCCACCACTCTACAATCAGCAGTGAGGGGTGGGGCCGCATAATGATCAGCCCTTTCCACCAATCACTGGGGAGGGGGGTGTGTGTGTGTGTGTGTGTGGGGGGGGAGTTGTACCTT